TCATCCATTTTATATATTGTCCAATTATTTTATATATATTAGGACATATTTTATAACCCAACATACAGTATATCTTGGTAAATGTTGCATGAGCAGCTGAAAATTATATATACTCTGCTTTGGGGGGAATACTCTATAAATGTTAATTAGGTCTATTTGGCTATTAATGCAATCAATTTTTCTACATCTTAAGAGATTTTCATTTCATTTATTGAATCAATTACTGAGAAAGGCATATTGAAATAGTTTTTTAAAGTTATAGAGGCTAAAAGTAACATAGGGAATTTACCTGTTCTTTTTATTTTAAAAATTCAGAATCCAAATGTTAAAGATTAAAACTTAACTCTTGTTCAAAAGAAAAATGTTGATTCCAATTTAATAATATAAAAGTCCCACAAAACAGAAAGAAGAAGTGAATTGTATATAACTAATTAATTTTTGGCCTATTTCAAACTTCCTTATACAACGCATGCGGTTTCCTTGACTTAAGTCTGATTTCCTGATAACTAAATTAAAATAGTTCTAGGATAATTCCACCCCAAATTTCAAGGTAAATAATCTACTTCTCTGTATCTCTCTCTCTTTTTTTAAATCTTCACCTGAGGACATTTTTTTCCATTTCTTTTTAGAGAGAGTGGAAGGGACAGAGAGAGAGAAACATCAATGTGAGAAAGACACATCAATTGGTTGCCTCCCTGTTCAGGGATAGAGTCTGCAGCCAAGGTATGTGCCCTTGGCCAGAATTGAACTTGGTACCCTTCAGCCCACAGGCCAACGCTCTAACCACTGAGCGAAACTGGCTAGGGCACTCTATATCTCTTTTGTGGACTATTTTTCCATGTAGTGTAGAGTTTAATAAATCTCTAATACCAACTATTGTTATCTATGTTAGAACATAGCATTTCTAGAACATGTTTTTACTGCAGACCTTACTTTCCACTAATATAGACCTGAAACTTCCTAGCTCATTTGGACAATATGATGAAACCAGATACCATTTGAATGAAATGCTGTCATTTATAAACAGAAAAAAAATATTAAGTTCTAAATTCTATTTTTAGTAGCCATGTCCATTGCAAAATTGCCATTTTCAAGAATACAACATAAAAAGAGAGTTTAAAAATAGCCCTATTTTTCCATGTAATGTGCTCCATGTTAGAGGCCAAATTTGCCATAAAAAAAATCCAATGGAACATACAAAAAAAGTTACTAAAACTAATAAATGAGTTTAGCTACCTCAAAGCCACAGTGGCAGCTTCAGAACGGTGATTTCAAAATAGAAATAACAGAATCTAATTTATTTGGAGGCCAGTGATCCGGACACTACTTGTCCTTCAGTTGAATAATTTAACTATACCATATCCCATGTGCACGCTGCAACTGAATTACATTTATCTATATATTAAAGCTCAGCAACCTGACTTTAATCCTTGTGTGGACTGTTAGCTGATAAAAATATTTGGTAGACAAGATGATGAATACAATTTGAGTTGGTTTATGTAATTTACTCCAGCTAATATTTATAATCCCAGAACTATTGAATTCACATTCATATTTTGAGAAAGAATGCAAAGGATACATTATTTATTGTAGGTAGAATTTTTTTTTTTTTTATAGTGAAAGCTATCATTTCCCTGTTTTTGGAAATGTAGAACAAGCAGTATTTTTTACTCAGCAGCATTTATTTGTACTTACTATTTTAGCCAGTGTCAGATCTTCAAGTTAATAACATACTTAAAACACACATCTTGGGGAACACAGCATGGTGTTATTATAACCAACAGAAAAATGTCTTAATTGCTTAGTTGCATTGATATTTGTTTACTTCCATCATAACAAATACATTTTCAAAGAGGCTAAACTCCAAACATCTGTGGACATTCCCTACATCCATTTCTGAAAATAATCACTGTGCATCTATAGTTTACAACTATTGGCATAGAGTCTGATTCTCCCAGTATTTATATATTGTAAATCTGCCAAGCTGCCTTAGAGTACATGAATCGTCAATATTTGAGAGGACTAAAGATGAGAGTTAATGGTCAGAAACTGGTAGAAAGTTAAAAGCTTTCTTGTTGGAATGAGATGAAGGATTTTAGAACCTATCAACCAACAAAGAGGCTGGCGCTTTGTCATTTAATTGCTCCTATTTCATTGTATATTATCCATGCACCCAAGAAAATATGAATCAAGTTTAAAGGCAAAGAATTGAGAGCATGGTGGTAGTTTATAAATATTCAAAGGGTATAAGTATCATGAAAAGGCAGGCTCTAGTCTAGAACATAAAAAAAATGATGGAACTTGAAGAAAAGTCATACATTTAAGGCAAATGAAAACGTTATTCAAGTATTTCGAAGAAAAATTGTTTCCCAAATAATCATTTCCATTAATTATTCTGATCTAAAATGCAATAATATATTAGAGAGCATGATGTTTTCCCTGTGTACATCCCAGTCTCCTCTTACTCTTTAAATTTTAAAGAGCTCTGTCCCATTTAGGGGTATAACAGCTGAGTGAAACAGACATTTGAGCCTCACAGAGCTAAACCATAGCAGATTAATTGGGCATCTAACCATAAAATATTCCACATGAAAAAAAGAAGCTTTTTGGGATACAGTTCTGGTGCTATTGTCAAGACACTGGGATGTTTACAGAGGGGAGAATGGCATTTTAAAATGCAGCACAGTGAGATAAAGCCTGCTTTGTTACATATAACATAAGTAAGTTAATAAGAAAGTATTTTTGCACACTGTCAGAAATACCCGTCAGCATGTGTCTTTATAAAAAGCTTTTCTGTGTCCACTTTTTTTGAGTTGTTAATAATTTGTTTATGGGCCTTTTTTTTTCCAATATACTTGTATCTCCCTATAGTGAACCATTTATTACTCCCCCGAGATTATCACTTCTATCTCAAAAAACTATGAAGCAAGCAAATGAGCCACCATAATAAAAACGCTACAAGACCTTACATGTGTCTACCTACAAGTTTTCTCCTTACCACAATTATGTCAACTGAAAAACATAGCAACAGTCAATGTTAGTTACAAGCTTCATAAAACAGTCTACCCTGGGCAGTTAAAGAAGGAGCCCCTATCATTCAATGCCAATTCAGCCATATCTGGATTCTGTAATTGCATTTAACTACTTTTATTTTTCCATGAAACTGAAGTAAAAATTAATTTGATGCAAAAAAATTCTGTAGATTGCTTTAGAAGAATGTATATGCCCTGAAGTCACTAAATATGAAGCATTAGCTTTCTTTATTTTTCAACATTATCTTGTAAAGTTTGCTGTGCATTTGAGATATGGTTAAATGGTAAGCTTGCTAGTACATGGGGTCTAGAGAATTTAGAATTGTTAGCCAGCATTTTAAACAATTTAATATTTTATGACAAATAGCTATACAAGCCACCGGACAGTTTTTTTATTTGTTTTGCTTTTTGTGTGTGTTTTTAAAAAATATATCTTTATTGATTTCAGAGAGAGGAAAGGAGAGGGAGAGAGAGAGATGGAAACATCAATGATGAGAGAGTCATTGATGGGCTGCCTTCTGCATGCACCCGACTGGGGATCGAGCCTGCAACCTGGGCATGTGCCCTGACCTGGAATCGAACCCCGATCGCCTGGATCCTAGGTCAAGGCTCAACCGCTGAGCCACGCCCAGCCAGGCCACCTGACAGTTTTGAATGACAATGTATTCATGAGAGAGCTGAAACCTCTCTCAAGAAGTCAGAACAAAATTCACTAAACACCCAAAGGTAGTTTGTTGAGAGTCACAGAAGTAGAAGAAGTGAGATGTAGAAGAAATGGGCTCAGGGAACAAGTTACAAAGGCAAAAGGAGTGGTCTTGGAGCTTAGGAGAGAGAAGGGTAATGCTAATGCTCCTGGAGCGTTAGCAAAAAGGGGGACACGAAAGGTGCCAGCATGCTCCCAAGAGGGAGGAGAGTACTCTGGGTCCTCCTTCTTGAGGGTATTTATCTGGAGGTCTCAAGGGAGGATCCCAATAGAATATCCATTAGCTTTCCAGGATCCTTTCAGGGTCATGGTCTCTACTGATTGGCTGGTGCCAGGGCAGGGGGTCAATAGTCAATGCAGCTGGTCCTGAAGTCAGCCATGGCATCACTAGTCTGGTTTTGCTGCTTTTCTGGGCCTAGAGCTAAAATACAACTGAGGCCTAGATGTTGTCCCTAAGAGTTAATGCTTAAGGGAGTGGTCATGCAAAGGCCTGCATGGGAGTCTAATGAATCTACTCTTTGAGAAAGTCTTAATTGAAGTAAAAATGACTTTAAAAATAACTATCCCAATTTGCTAGTTTTTTTGTTCATAAAGCCAGAAAAATAAAGCAATTCAAAACTAAGATATAAAATAATAAATTTTCTATTGGCAAATTGTTTTAGACAGGTTCATAGGATTGGGCCTTTGCATTGCAAACTCTACTTCTTTGGGTAATAAGAAATGGGAAAGGTCATTTATGAGAATATTTAGCACTTATCATATGCCAAACACATAATAGATAATATACATGCATATTTAATTATCCCAAAATACTATTATTATTTCCAATTTTATAAATGAATAAATTGGGGCTTACAGAAGTTAAGCAATATTGTAAAAAATTGAGAAATAGGGTCTACTCTTCCAAAGTATTTTAGAGAGGCTATAGCTCTACATATGTAGCCATGGCTTAAATTATTCCGCCAACATTCAGGAGACCTAGTTTTTAAAAAACCATGATATGGCACACCTGACAAATTCCTAGTAGGAGCATCCTTTGGTTCCCAAACCAACAGCTTTATTATGGACATTATAATTACTTTATTTTAAACTTTTGCATATATATTTATAACTGAGATAGATCAATAATTTTTATGCAAAATCTCTAACAACTTGTTAGCATTAAAATAAATAGTCATCATAAAATAATTTGGAAATATTTCCTTTTATATGATCTGAAGTGATTTAAATGACATTTGAGTTATTTGTTTTTATTTTTGAAACAGATGGAACTAAGTTATAAGACCAAGTGATCCTGATGTCTTTTTAATGGAGGAACTTTAACAAGTGTTGTAAAATCTCCTTTGGTAATGGTAAGTTCATGCTTTCTACTTCTTGGGTCAAATTTTGTATTTTATATTTGTGGAGATATATATTAAAATAGTACAATATGACTAAATAACTTTTACCTCAATAATTTTCAGTATCAGGAAACTTGTCAGTATAATTTGTTATAGTAAACAAAGGATAAAAATCTAAATGTCATAGAGTAGATATTTGTGGAAGTAACTATTGGCTATATCCCTCAATACCTGTTCTCCACATCTTCAATGGTAATGAAAAGCACAATTTCAGCCAGGTACGTGGTTTCTTAGAATAAAATACTCGTTTTCAACTTCTTGTTTCTGGTGCCATATACAAGAAACTTAGAGGTTGCCACTTCATTCTGATAGCAACTAACAGGCTGAAGATTTAACAATTCCACTTGGATCAGTAAAAGAGGAATGGCCAAATTGTAGGGACAGGCCACGAATACGGGGGATCACTGCTTACCTAACGAGATACTCAACACTGCACCTGCCTGTGGGAGCCAGTACGGTAGGAGAAGGCCTGAGCTATAATTGTCAAATTGCTGGAGACAGTGTGGGCAAGTTTGAAGAACTCCAGGTTGCCTCAGTCATCGGGGGTGCCCCACGGTATTGTGATGTTTACGTCTAGGAGCTGACCAGGTTCCCACAGGGTATCCTAGAAAAATCCCCTCATGCTTCTGGCATGGGGAGGAGAAAAGGAGGCACTCTGAAATACTCCCAGGCGCTCTGTTCTTCTTTACTAGGCCTGAGGTCAGGGGAAACTGGCTAACAAGAGCCTAACTTTTCTGGAGCCCAACTCTGGACTACTGTAGCCATCCTTTCTCATCTATAGGGAGGTGGGGGGGG